AATGAGCATCGTAGACGCCTAGATCACATAGGATCATTCCTAGAATACAGAAAGTCGCGACAAAAACGCGCAAATTTCGATGAAAACGATGAGGCTTCGCTTTATTATTTAGGTTACGAGAAGCCAAAAATTTACGATTCGTTCGATCTCCTCGATGCGAAGTTGAAAAGAAAGAGAAAAAAGAGGAAACGAAAATTAATTGATAAGAAAAACGCGGCAATCGAGACTGATAGGATACTCGATTTGTTACCAATAAAAGACAAAAATCGCATGGAGGACGAAGTGATACTGCTCAACAAGCGAGAAGCCTGGAAAAGGGAAAACGAAAAACAGCTGGAGGAGGTTGCCTTCGGCAAAGACATAAGGAATAGCACAAAGAGGGAAAGAAAACGATTCGAGAAATTGACGGAAGGAGGTAAATCTCCTTCGATCAATGAAACGAGTTCCAGAATGAAGCGAGAGGACATAATTCGCAAGACATCAACCGGCGAGAGTACAGACCGTTCCAATAAATCTCATGCAGCATTCAAAATTCGTGATGGCGAAGCATGGAATACTTCGAAAATAAATAATGTTAATGGCGTAAAGAATGAGAATAAACTAGAGTTGGTTGAGCGGAGAATCAATGTTTTCGCGAACAACAAAACCGATGCGGCAATTGATTCCGCGGTTACAGAAGTCAGCGCGGAAGAAAAGTTAGCGACAAATGCGGGAACCAATAATCAGATTAAGGGAAAACTTCGTGCTATAAACCGTGAAACAAAAATTGACAAGGCGAATGGAAGTACGAGCTTTGTAAACTTGACGAGGAACGCGAAACCTCGGGTCTCGGAGGACCGACAGAAAGTTTCAGTAACGGAAAAAGAAGCAGATGATAACGCTGTAAAATTAAATCGTGCGACAAACTATCGACGTGAGGAAATAGATCCTGAAATCGAGTTGAAAAATCTGAGACAGGGAAGAGAGAAAAAAATTTATGACGTCGCAAACTGGAAGACTGGCGACTACTTTTACGATGATGATAATCTTTCTAGAAATAAATTAAGGGAAAAATATATGGCTAAGTTAGACGAACTGGGTGACCTGGATATGAATCCCGAGAATAATTTTGTGCTTCTGAGATTAAGAAATAATAAATGGTTGAATGACGTCGAATGGAAGCTGTTGCCGATAATAAAACAATCTCCATACGACGATTATGCCTTACCAAAAATTCGTTTAATAGAAAAAGAAACACCTGTATCAAGCAACATTAAAGATGTGCAATCTCAATCCAACACTTATTTAATTAGCCCAAAATTTGGACAATGGAAACATCGCAAAAGAAATAGTGATATCTCACCTATATTTAAAATAACCGACAGTGATCATTTTCCGCGCAAAATTTATCGGAAAGCGAAACGAGCGTCTGAGATAGCGAGATTCAAGGATTTACAGGTAGATCCCAAAATTATTCTTAAAGTTCAAAGACTATCTCGGCCATGGAACAACAAAAGATCAAATGGCGTTGTAGAATTTGGAATGCCTTTGGTATTGAAAAATCCTAGTCGCGAGTTTCGTGAAATACTTCGCTCTCGCAATCATCCAGAGCTCAGCGATCGAGTAATCTACGATGCAGTCGGTCTGCAATTACCGGTTTGGCCGTATCAGTATTACGATTTTACGGATTCATCAACCTTTCACTTCGTCCCGGACATTCATGGGAGAGGCAACGAGATATATCAATATCCCACGGAAACGTATCTCGAATATGGCCCCTTTAAAAAACGCCGCTCTCATGATGCGAACCAGCGATTCGCGAGGCGAAATAGATTCCGCTTGAAAATCTCAAAAGGAGAAGATACCAACAATTTTCCGACGAATAATTTAACAAACAAGAGCTCGAAGTCCAGATTTTCACAAGGAAAGTTTCGCGTGGAATCAGCCACAACGGCTCTCGCGAATGGTGAAGATTATTTCGTGTCCGGAAAGACAAAATACACAGGAAAGAATGCGAGGAAAATTGAAAATGAAATGAAAGTAAAAAAATTGACAGAATAGACGAGATCTTCGATTGATGGGCAATAAAAGCATTTAGTTGCTCAACATAGATAATAATTATTCCTATATTTAATGAAGATGTAATATAAGGAAAAATAGATTAAGAATCTTGAGAAATACCGTGAATTAATGTAACGCGAGAAGAAAGGACGTCGCATTGTATTGCGTTCCATTTTCAGGTCAAATCGCGACGTGATAATTGTCAACGGGCGTCTAAATAATTTCATCGGATAAATCGGATAAATCATCGATGCGCGATTATCGTAATTGACACATTCGCCCTATCTATGCACCAGACAAGCCTGTGAAACCTCGTAAATCGTCCTAGCTCGTCGGGATGAACCCAGCGTCGTCGCGTGTTTGCACACACCATACCACTGTCCACTAATCCATCGCTGCAGTGCAGTTAATGGCGTTGCCTTGCACTAATTAGATTAACAGATCGCGTCAAAAGTTAAGAGACTTCGACATGTCGACGTTGCATCTTAATCCAGAATTAAATTGCATCCATTATAATGTAGATTCATCGAACATTTTTAAAAAGAAGAATATTAAAAAGAAAAACAAGCATTTACTTTGGCTTCTGCTTAATAATATTGTTTTTCATTTCTATTTAGCTAGATTATGTAACATTTAACTCATTTGCATATAAAACACTGAAAAATCATCGAAAGTTGCAATAAAGTAAGATTATATCATAATTTTGCATAGTCCTTAATAGAACCTATATTCATGACGCAATTCCAAAGCTTAAAGAAAAAAGAAAGAAGTAGTACGTCGAGTGTACATGTTGTCTCTAAGATTTTCATAAAATGCAAACGTTTCATATGTATCCACGCGATAAAAGCCAAATCTTTCAAACCCGCTGCGGCCACGCCGACTCAATCTCACCGACTTACTCTCCCATCTAACAGGAAAAAGAGTGTATGCAGCGTATTCCCTTCTGCCCCGACCCGGCTTGGCTCAAAATATCTCGAAAGTTTCCTCGTAAAGTAAGGCCATGCGGCGGAATTCCCTCCGGCCAATTAAAGTCTCGAAATCGGACGTGCTCGCTTATGCAGGCAAAATAGGCAAGGCAGGGATGAGAAAAAGAGAACGAGAAACAATTGAGAAAAGAACAGAGAAAGAGAGAGAGAGAGAGAGAACCAGAACCAGAGGAAGGATAAGACACAGCCGTGTAGTCGGTGGATGTTATTACTTATTCGACTCTGGGATTTTAAGGGCGGGTTGGATTTATTTAGATATTCCGGCAGGAGCATCTGCTCGTGGTTCGATGTCTCCTCTCCCGCGCCTACGCTTGCCCGTTTCGCTCTTCTTCGGCGTGCATTAATATACGCACGGAGAGCCGGTAAGGGGTAGCAACATTTTTACATAACATTAGGTTGTTCGAGCTACTCGAAACTTCGTACTACGGTTTGGGACCACTAATAGGAGTTAAAGCGAAACGCGAAACGTCGTCGTCAAATTAAATTCTGTATTGTAATCACGTATTGTAGTTTACCCATTTATAAACATCATAGAGATTAATAGTTATGCCTCATTGTCTTTACTTCTTTCGTTGGAAATCAGTGTGATTATTGCAAATATTACTATATACGCATGCAATAGAATCTGTTTCTTTTAGCTAATTATGCTAATTATTTTTCTCTTACGCTAATTTTATATATATGTATATATATCTAATATTAGTACAAGAGAAACAACATTTTTATTTCTATAGAATTGTAAATTTTATATTACATTACAGTATTTTTCATTTCAATTATTGAAAAAAAAGGATCGTACAAAAAGTTAAATAATTTTATCTCAAGCCTCTATGAGAGTAATATTAATTTTATAATAATATTTGATTATTGATGTAAAAAATAATAATACATAAATTGCAATAAACTACACAAAAGATATAGCTAAAGAAAACAGATTAATTGTTAAAATTTAAATTCAGCACTCATCAATTCGCGGTGTCCCTCGTCGTCCATCGATGTATTTTCCGCTGCAATTACATTTGCAACAGTCCGGCTGTGGTTCTGTAGCCTAGAGTATCCCTCCATCGTCCCTCGTTGCTTGCATTTCACTCTACTTCATGTAATACACTCACGACACAAGAAATTCAACACTGGACTACAATTTTAATGAATTTATATTTTAACGAATAAATAGTTTAATAATTCAAGACTTTAATAATTAACGAGTATTTACCGATATGATTGGATTTATTAATTATAGTTACAGTGTAAAATGTTAAAGTTTTATATGTCCAGTGTATTTTACATCACTTCATAAATAATACGCATTTGCGATGCAAAATTAATGATTTAATTTGAAAATTTATTGAAAACATTTATGACTTAAGTTAATAATTTTTTTAATGATAATCTATTGTAAAATATTTATAAATTGAATTTAGAGCATATTTTATTGCAGAATAAGATAATGTACATACAAATTCTCTTTTGTTGCTTCATAACATTTTTGTGATTATATTACTTCGAAATATATTTCTACGAAGGTCACTTTACTTCACAATATACTAGCGAGACTCAATTTCACAAATTCTTTGCAAATATTGTTTGATGAAAATGACAGAATCAAAATTTATAAAAAAAAAATCAGAATTTAAGAATTATAAAACAGAAAATAATAAATTTTTTATCACAATATACTTACAATTTAAATTTAATTTGATAAAAATCCACATCAACTAATAGATTTAATCATAAAAACGTTAATAACAAAATATAAAATAATAATATAATATATTCATACCATAAAAATTAGACTTACATTTTTTATAAATTTAGCTTTATGAATTTTTTTATGCTTTTCGATATGACCTATATTCTTTTTACAGTCGACACTTTTCATACAAAAATACACAACTACATGCAAAACTTTACATGCAAAATGAATCACACTGATTTCAGAAGTTATTTCGGCGGAAAAAACTATCACCTACTCACCGATACTGCCAAATCAGAATCCGGCACATCTCGTATTCAGGTCTATAATGAAAATATAATGTCAATTAGTTTTAAATTAAACAAATAAGTATAAGTTTTCTTTTATATGATTCTTTTATATGATGATAATCAAATACAATTTGTATATTCGCAAAAGTTTTGGAATTATTGTAAAATATTACGAATTAATTAATTGTATTATAAATAATAATTTTAAAAATTTGCAAAAAATATTTTTTAAATATGTGAATTATTAAAATAAAACTATATCAATTCATTATGCAGAGAAATGTATATTTTAAATTGTACATACATATATAGTATTTTTTAATATGTTTAGCGCATATTAATATAAATAATTATTTATAGTAGTTAAATTCTATAAAAGTATGTATATCTCAAAATAATTAAATTATATTATAGAATCAAGCATAAATGCTAAAGTAAAGATAAAAACCAACCTTCAAGCCGATCCTGCTTGGCCTGAACCGGATCCTTCAACTGCAGCTGCCAGATTCATAGGAAGTGTATCCATATCTACATTTAAAACAATAAATAATCGATTGACATTATTAATCTAATAAGATATTGATCAGCCTTATGATACTAATTTGTTAAATAAATAAGATATTTCTATTTGAGATATTTCTATATTTCTAAAATAATAAGAGAATATTTAATTTTAACTTGTGATCTGATTAAAAAGCTTATTTCTGAATTGTTCCAAATTCTTATTTTTAAAGAATTTGGAACAATTCAAAACTAGGTTACAGAATTGTTGAAAGCTTAAAGCTCTAATCCTTGTAAAAAAATATGACTAAAATAAAATTTTAAGTTTAAGAAAACTAAAAAATAAACTATTCAATTATATGATGAAACTGTAGCATATTGTAGAATTATAACAGTTGTAATAGTTAAGTATGCATAATATGAAATTTACTTTCCAATGAATTTTATTTAAAAAATTTGAACTGAATCCTGTAGTGCTGTACATCTGCATTCGTCGACTTTATAAGTTACATAAAGTTCATTATTTTTCACTTCAGTTCAGTCAATTACTCACGCGTTTTTGTAACATTTTTATTGAAGCATTATTTCAAATTAAAAAAAAATTGATTTCATTTAAAAATATATATTTGTATGTGTTAATATTTATATTAAATTGAATCATTATAACATTTAATAGCGTTAAATTTGATTAATATTAATGAAATTAATATTACATATACCTATTACTACTATATTATTCTTATATTTGTATTACAATTTTGAAAGTATCCAATAATTATCACAATATCATAATTTATTTTTATTTTATATAAAAAATTATATTTAGTTCAACGAAATTATGAAGAGTTAATATTAACATATATTACAAATACTTTGTTAATAATAATAGTAATGTATGTACAGAGAAAGAATTATCATATATTATCATTTTAATATTTTATGTAATATATTTGCAAAATTATTAAAAAAGAAATAGTAATAATCGATATATGTAAATATAAAATTCCGATGTATGCATTATATTTAAAACGATATCAAATATTACATTTATAAATAAATCATATAAAAATAAAACAAAATTTTAATGTCATATAAAATTTGTAAAAATTACTACATTCTTTTCTTGTAAAAAAAATTAAACTTTGAATAAAATGTTGAACAAATTGGATTAAATTATTAATATTAATTATAACATTAATTTATTAGCATTAAAATTAATTATAATATATTAATATCGATTCTTTGTACTTATTGTTAGCCAAATTACTCATTAAGTAAATTATCGTTTCCTCATCGAAAATATAATGGACTATAAGTACATCAATTAAGGTATTTTGAAATTTTAATGGACATTATGATTAGCAGCGTGCATTGCAACGTACTTACCATTATTTATATTGTGATACAATAAATGAATCGCTATAGGAATGCGTGATTAAAATTAATCGCGACTAATTGTTATATTTTATCTCCTTGCATTCCATTTAACGTTCGCAATGTTTGCGACTTGCATGCATCATCCTTATTTAACATTTGATAAACAAGAATGAAATGAGCATTGTTTAATGGAACACATCTTTATTATATTAGAGAGTTTTTGCAATACCGTTTATCCAAATACGGTGAACGCTAAAGTCAGGTTATCTTCTTAATAACTACTTAAGAAAAGGATAACCAGATATAATAATTTTAATGTTCACCGTATCTGGATTCACGTTATTGCATTTTTCATAATTACAAAGATTCTTTCGCTCCCAAATTTATGATTATCTCAACGAAAAGAAGTTAACCTGTCTCTGTCTCTCTCTTTCTCTATCTCTCGCCCCCCCCCCCCTCTCTCTCTCTCTCTTACACGAGAACAAAATTAATTTTGAGGCTGAATAAATTAAAAGAATCTGACTAACCTCGCTTTCGAACAACTTTCTAAAGAACGTTAGCTTCTTGTATGAGGAAACAGGATCCGATAGGAAAGAATTGTCGCAATGAAATCGCAACGCTGCGTTGGGTAAGGAATCGTTTTATGCATGGCGACGGTGTTAGGTATAACTCAGCGCGTCGAATGTCGTGGCGACACGAGTATTGTGTACTGCGTACTATTGTTACTTGTGTTCTCTCGGCGGTTAGTGTTTATGTACGTCTCGTTCGGCATCTGCGTGACTTTGACCAGGCGCGCGTGGATCGCGCGATATATCTCGGCGGCCAGAACGACGTCCATCCCTACACTTGTCCGAATCGGAATGAGCATTGAACATACCGTTATGGCTGTGCCGTTCGGCGTACCGAGTCTCCCCCCCCCCTCTCCAATCTTTTTCGCGCGCGACGCGACGCGGCGCGAAAAACAGAGTGAATCAGATTAATTTAAACGCGTTCCTTCTCCGGATACATTCGTAACTAAATGCAAATTTCAATTGCGAGAGATATAGATCCGCTGTAATTATCGAACATGACTACTTAATTAAAAAATTCGTTACTATGTCGAACGTGTGTTTTATAGTTAATCTACAATGTGTATAACGAAGAAGAGAACTTTATTATATGCATTGTAAAATTTGTAGTAATTGTTAATTCATATAGAAATTATTTAAAAACATTTAAGATTCAGCCTCGACCGTAATAGGCATTAAATTCTTACTTGTTGTGTATTCACATTATGGTCTTAATAATCGTTTATTAGAATTATTAATTTACATAAAAAATGTGTTTATAGAGTAGGTATTTAATAAAGATTATTGTCTTTTGTTATATTAAATACTTTATCAAATTCTATTATGTATGTATGTACTAAATTATGACTGTTTTGTTGCATTTTGTATTTTGTTAATTATAAATTAGTTATAAATTATATATGTGTGTGTGTATGTGTGTGTGTGTGTGTGTGTGTGTGTGTGTGTGTGTGTGTGTGTACATAAATACAGAGAATTTATTTCAAAATTTTATGTATGAAATATCTATATTTATTAATTCAATTGTATTATTTAATAAATTTAATATATCAAGATATATGAATTATATTTACGTTTTTAATTATTTTGATTAGGTCAATTATTTGATTCGTAAACAAATTTTTATAATATTAATTTAATAATTTCCTTGTGTGAAGTTTCATAAAAATCAATGGTTATTTCAAAAAAATTTTTTTTAAAATTATTTCAATAAATCTTTATTAATCTTTTAAATTAATAAAAAGATTGATAAATAATTATGTATACAATAAATAATTTTCGTTTTTAAAAATATTTTATCTTTATTTGAAAAATATACAATAAAAAATGTTGAATTAATGATAGCGATTTAATCTATGTCACACCGGCATTTTGTTAACTGAGATGTAACTGCGATCCACACGCGCAATACCGCACAATATTCGAGATATTCAAACCATGATAAGGACATATTGTTTGACACGTTCGATCGATTTATCGCCATTCTCGTTATTCGCTACTTTCGATGGCGCTGCTCGGTCGTCGACCCCTATTCGGTCGCGCGTTCCGATCAACGGCATTGGAGTCGAATGCAAATCGGGACCTTTAATTGGAAAGTGAATCCGACTATGGGTCACGATTATTCACGGCTGCCGGGTAGCAACTCAGTCCCGATACTCGTTCGTTCGCAGCCAATTGTTTCAAATCCCGCATTGTTCCAGAATCCGGATTAATTGGGTCTTACGGTCACGCTATTTAAGAAAACATTTTTGGAGCTTAGCGGCGTCAACGTAATTTCTCACTCAGCTCGACTGCGAAACCAATGCATATTTTAAACGTAATTATCTATTACGTGTTGTCTCACCGAAGTGAATCGTAATTTGTAATACATGTTTGCACTTTAACTAATAAATGAAGTCAATGAAAAATTCGACAAGCTGCGTTAACTGGACACACAATATAAAATACATACAGGTTTTAAATGATTAAAATTTTTCAAACAAAAATATTTAAATTAATATATAATTACTGTTATAATATTAGTAATAACTATATATAGTTCATCAACAAATATATATATGTTGGTACCAAAAAAGTGACTATAAAGTTATAGTTACTAGTATCATAAAAATGATTTTAATTATTATAATTTAACTATAATTTACAGTCATATATATATTTTTGGGACAATCATATTCATAAATATCAAAAATTGTTCTCAGTGCAGCTTCAGTTTAAAATTGTGTTTTAAAACTGACAAACAATCGGAGCGTACAGTTTGCACAGAAATTGTAAAAATCAACAAAATATTACTAGGCATCAAGCTCCATTTTAATCGAATATGGTTCTATTCACTTATTTGTATTTTCTCTTTATTATTTTGTCATAATTGCAATATACAAATCAAACTTTCAATTACAACGTTTTTCGATACAAGGAAGTCGATCGTCGAACGCGAAAAAATTCAAAGACTACAAATCTGAAGAGCGGCAAGAGAACCAAAAACCTCAACAGGGCGAGAGAGGAGGGACTCGGCACGCATCCCTGAATGACAGATGGTATTTTCGCGTATCATGATCGCGGCTAGGATAGTTTCCTATATCGTAGAATATACAGCTCCGGTCTGGCATCGTCGACATGTCGATAGCAGGCCTCGCCGTGCGATACATCCACCGATATCCCCGTACCATAGGCACCCGCCGCGGACGATCCCCCTCGTTCGACCGCTAAATGGCCAAGCGAAGCCACCCCCATGGTGCTCAATTATTGATACTTACCCCTCGCACCGCCACGCATTTCCAGAGCTGCTGCGTGCACCTTGATGCAACTCCCGATATAACAAATTTCTGCTTTGGAACAGCCAAGAAAATACATTTACCTGAAAAGTAAAAAATGTTATTTCCTTACGAGTGGACAAATAATTAGTTTAGAAATTGAAATATTTTCAAAAATTTGTTTAACATTCAATTATATAAATATACCTGGAACAAAGAGAGGCAATTACAATTTTGCAATGCCGATTAACAATGTGTTTCCAAGCAATTAAATTCTCCGTAAAAGAAAAAAGCAATCCATTTCAT